TGAACCGAGCCTTTCCAGTTTCAACAATTCTTGTACTATGGGTAGGACAGCAAAACATATACCCTTTTGATTTTTCTGGATAACCAATGAAATATCCACTGATTGTTCTTGCATCCAGTTTCTTTTCTTGCGGATTATAAATTCTTACTTCTGCCTAACAACCCCAAACATGTAGGTGTCTCATACTGGGTTTCCTACTTGTCCATAACTCAAAAGGAGTCTTTTGAACCGCTTTACTAGGAACCCCTGTTCAACAAATACATGGCAGTTTTCAAAGCATACATCCACAACGATACAGGTAAACATAAATTACTTAACATACTCCTAACCATATCAAATCATAGAAGTACGCTTAAACAAACTGAAACAACCATTCTCAAACTTAAAAGAGTATCCAGCAACATCAAGCTTAGATAAAGAAACTAAATTTCTAATGATACTAGGTACATAAAAAGTATCCATAAGGTCTAAGTGATATCCAGTGTCAAGGATTAAACGATAAGTCCCGACAGCTTCCACTGGAACCTTGACTTTATTTCCCATGAAGACAAACTTCTCATTTGGGTTTATGGTTCGGGTTGAAAGGAATCCTTGCATTACATTAGAAACATGAGTCGTACATCCATAATTAATCCACCAAGTATTATGGGGAACTTCAGTTAAATTTGATTCAAAACATACATAAGCACTATGCTCACCTTTCTTTTTGAACCAAGCTTTACGCTTTAAGCAGTCCTTTTGAAAATGTCCAGACTTACCACAGAAATGACATTTGTCATTTTTCTTCTGAATGTTAATAGATGACTCGTTAATCTTTAATGGTCCTTTACCATTTCCATGTTCTTAACAACTTTCTTTTTAACTCCTTGATTTTTCACGTAATGAATAGAGTGACTTCTTAGGTTCTTGAGTCTGGTCTCCTCCTGGACTACATATTGTACAATTCATGCACATTCCATTTGTCTTTCATGGTGATATAGTTCATCTAGAACGAACCATACTCAGGCGGTAACGAGTTCAAAATGAACTGCACAAGAAAATTTTCTTTTACTGTCATTCCAAGAGACTTGAGTCTTGCTGTGATATTTGTTATTTCAATTACGTGTTCATACATACTACGAAAACCATCAAACTTCATGGTGGTCAACGTACTCATCAATGTCCCAACGAGAGATTTGTCAGCAATTTGAGAGCGCTCTTCCACAAATTTCATAAATTCTTTCACGTCCTTAGTTTTGGACAAAACATACTTAATATTGCTTGCTATACTCATTCGCATAAACATAAGACTAAGTCTGTTTGACCTTTTCCAAACTCTATAATGATTTTTCTCTTTGTTGCTACTAGCATTAGTGATAGCAGTCAGTTTTTCAACTTGGAAAGCCAAATCAAAATCCAACTCACCTAAGTGAAATTGGACTTTCTCACTCCAGTCAGGGAATTTAATCTATTAAAGACTTGAACAGACGAAGTAAGCGAATGTAGAAATACATAAACAAATACTTCAATTAACACATGTCTAACATTAACGCTTTGAGTCATAAAAACTAAACATAAATACAGATTCAAACATAAATAACCATTTTATGCATACTAATGTTCTCCTTTGGGAGATCCACTAATACACAAACATAATTACGCTAATCTTTTTATAACATTAATGATAATTAAAATATGCATCAACTAGAATCACTTAACACCTTTGGGTATATAAATAAAACTAGTGACGCACACAAAATTATCTACTTTCATGTTCATTAATTATAATAACAACTAATCAACCTTTGGGTGATCCTGAAATGCCTTATAATAATGAACTTCAATTAACCCATAAATCATTATTCATAATTTTAGCATTCATACTATAGGTAATTGAAATAAAATCACTAATATTTTGAAATCAAAATAATCTTAAAATTTTGGCCACTTTGGTGACTAACAAAATTTATCATGCTTAACTTCAAATAAATAACATCTTTAATTGCTATTAACCATTCATAGCATTTTTTTTATTAATTTTAATAAATATGTACATTATTCACATAATAAAATATTATGTGCCATAAATAAAACTGAAACTCATAATTTCAATTTTCATCCTAAGATTGATTTTTAATCCAAGACCTTTATTTGCATTTCACGTAAAAGTGAAATTGTCATCCATTCAAAACTTTTATGATTAATTTAAACACAGCGGTGGAAACTTCATAATTCAGTTTGTAAAACAAAATTCATTCATTTATCAATGTTTACATTATAGGTACATTAACAAAGTTTTACAGAACATTAACAAAGTACCCTTAACAAAAAAGTACCCTTAACAAAGTACACTTGACAAAGTTTTACATTACCCTTAACAAAGCTTTACAGTACCCTTAACAAAGCTTCACAGTACCTTAACAAAGCTTCACAGTACCTTAACAAAGCTTCACAGTACCTTTAACAAAGCTTCAGTACCTTTAACAAAGCTTCAGTACCTTTAACAAAGCTTCAGTACCCTTAACAAAGCTTTCAGTACCCTTAACAAAGCTTTCAGTACCCTTAACAAAGAAATAACTCTTTAATTATCCTTTACTAAAAAAAATATGTACTTACAAAAGAATATTATAAATAATATAATATAATATATGAAACCTGTGTGTTTAACACGTGCTCTCTACGCGCAAAGTTTATCAACTTTACAGTTTACCATTCTTCCATCATAATTATAACATTTCATCGTAACATCTCATCATAATTATAACATACAATAAAACTAATTTCATACATGATTCACCCTAACCCTATCACGCCATTTGTCTTTTCAATTAAAATCAATTACGGGTTCATTCACGCATAGGGGCTATAAAATTGGTTTCAATTAGAACTTGATAACATAATTAGGGTTTATTCCTTTATTTAATTTTGAGAAAAATAAATTTGGGAATAAATTAGGGTTCATACTAATCTGATAGAGAAATCTCTAAATTCATAATTAGGGTTTATCTTAATTTGGGAAAAACTTAATATTTGGGAAAACTTTCATACAAGGAAAATCATAAATCTAATAATTAGTGCTCTGATACCACATGTAAAATTATATGTAGTTTTCCTACGTTTTTAATTCATTATGAAAAACTACTCTACAGGATCTTTAGATTATTGATTTTCACAACATAACATAAATCATAATAAGAGAACTAACCTTGATCCATGAAAATCTATTCTTTAATCTTCTCGTTCTCCAATCTCCTTTTTCCAATATATCTCTTTGTCTTTCTTTCTCTTCTCACGCTTTCTCGATGGTTTACCGTGAAAAACTTTATGACCAGAGACAAAACCCTTATTTCATTTTATTAACCAACGTTCATCAAGTTGATTACCGTAAGTTAATATTTTTATTTTATTCTAACTTCACATAATAACCAATAGGTCCTCATATTTTATTAAATCACATTTGGGCCCATTATTATATTTCACCTGAGTCACATAATGGAAGAATTAATTAAATTAATTCTAACATTGTTCCCAACTATTTCAGATTTCCAATGTTCAACTAAACACACGTTATGTTAGATTACATGCATGGACTATGTAAAGAGTTTTTATTTTATATTTAACAATAAATAATCATATATTACAAAATTGTTAACTTTTATAATAATTACTTTGTAACTCATTTTTAGAAACTTTTACACTATCAGCTATCAACCTCTTATAAGGATTGTATATTTATTAACTTTTATATGTATTTAATTAGATACTCATACATGAACTTAATTTAACTTTTTTTCCCCGCTAGAACAAGGTATTTTACATGTACAAGTCACGCGATTAATTTTAAGAGTATGATCAGTTTATTTATCCTTTCTAACAAAGTCTTACATACTTAAATTAAAATATTTAGCTGTCATAAAACATAACAATCAGTGTTTAATGTTTTTTCAAAAGTTTCTATTATAACAACAATGTTTATAAAAAATTTTCTCAATGTTTTTTTCATTTTTAATTATAAAATGAAATAATTTCATTTTCTGTTAAAAAATAATGCATTTTCTAGACCTCAAAAACGTGAAAAAATAATTAAGAAACGATCCCCACATCAAATATTAGTATTTCACAAAATGCCCAATTCGAATATTCGACAATTGAACCTCGTTTCCCCACCCCATCCATGTTTTCTACTTTTCTTTCGTCTGTGTCCTTTTTGCCCTTCTTCCCCGACAAGTAGCGCACAGACGCAGTTTTTGAATCTCTGATTTATTGGAACTATGCTTAATTTCTTCAACTTCCAAGCTTCGACTCAGGACGCTCCGAAATTTCATATTAGGCTTTAAACAAAAGCTCGCTCAAACACACTGCTCGTTTGGCATTACAACGAGTTTCTTGCATCGAAACTAAGGTATTTCTAATAACCTAAATCACTCCTCTTTAACTAAGCGTTTGAATAGATTTCAAAATTATGTTTGAAAAGGACGGGATTCGATATTTCCTTTCGGTAAATATTTTGATATTTTCGTTTGACTGTAAAGGAAAATGCAAATGCGTTTTGTTACGACGGCAACGTTGTGGCATCAGTTGAAAACCTTAAAATTAAAAAAAAAAAATTACCATTATTATTACTTCTTGAACCATCTCAAGTTTGTCCTGTTCCATTAAGCAGTGGAAAGCATATATATGTAGGGATAACATTGTCAAAAATTTTCTGAATATAGCTGAAAAACTAAATTATGGTTATTTTGATATTGAAAACATAATTGATTTAGTTTAATAGTCGAGGAATACGAAGAGGGAGGTGGTAGGTATCCTTAGGTCGTGGAAAAGAAATGGGGATTTTTAATACCAGATTCATGTTTAGTTCGGATTGCGGTATGATTATTTGGTCTTTAATCTGTTCCATTTAGAGGGTCTTGAAAGACACTACTGTTTATTGTCGTTCTCATGCTATTATTAATGTTTGTCATAATTTTTGAACATTAAATTGATCTTTTTTGAAGTGTCGTTTGCTTGGCTGCGTGAATATGGGTGTCGAGGAGCAAGCCGAGGAAATTAATGTGCAGTCTATGATAGAGCAGCTTGCTCAGGCATTTATTGAATTGGAAGCTCAGAAAGGGGAGTCTGAGAATAAGATTCAGTGGGTTGAAATTAAGCAACATTTACATGACCTTGAGACGGAATTGAATAAGAAACTCAAAGAGCTGGAAGCTAAGGAGAGGGAGTATGAACTGAAACAATTAGAAGTGGATACACTACTTGAAGAGAGGAAGACTGCGGTTGCTTCAGAAGAGCAAGACCTCTTAGATAGGTTACAGGAGCTTAAAGATGCTGCTGTAGCATCCATTATAGAGGCTCATGCAAATCACCGGAATGCAACTCTGGAGTCTGTGTATGATGGGGAGAACAAAGATAACAAGGTAAGCAGCACTCTTGGCGATACAAATTCCTCAGAGGATGATTTTCCTGATGAGTCAGGTGAGAAGTCTGAAGGTGTGGCTGTTGAGGTTAGGCCACACCCAGAGCTGACACAATTTTGTGAACAAATGGATGCAAAAGGTCTTCTGAATTATATTGTGGAGAATAAAAAGAAATTGTCTGTTATTCGTGAAGAAATTTCTGTTGCATTAGTAAGTGCAACTGATCCTGCACGTTTAGTGCTGGATTCACTGGAGGGGTTTTACCCCACCAATGAAACTTCCCAACTAAAAGATAAAACGGGTGCTGCCCAACAGGGCATGTGCAAATATTTTATTATAATTTTGGAAGCCATGGCCACCTTATTGGCTAGGGCTAAACCAGGTGCAGATCACCTTCTGAACCCTGAAACCAAGCAGCTAGCCAAAGCAATTGCTGATGAGTGGAGGCCCAAGTTAGCTAGAGCAGATATTGATGCTGCCAATGGAAATTCATTGGAAGCAAAGGCATTCTTGCAGCTTATTTCAACTTTTAGGATTGCTTCAGAGTTTGATGAAGAAGAACTCTGCAAGCTTGTACTTGCAGTTGCTCAGCTTAGGCAGGCTCCTGAGCTTTGCCGCTCTATTGGGTTAATTCACAAAATTCCAGGTTGGTGTTCTTTTAATAAACTGACCTGTGATGTGCGCAATGAAGGATTGCCGTGTCAGATATCATCCATATGCTAGATAAGCAGTTTCCTTTAGGGGGCAGTATAACTAGATTACTTGACCAAGAGTAGATACGTGGGTCATATGATTTGCATGCCAAGAGTTAATATGATTATCAGATGTTGATTATTCTAATATTCTAATCTTCACTATTAATGCAGTTGTTGTAGAAACATTAATCAATAATGGGAAACAAATAGCAGCTGTACATTTTATTCATGCCTTCCAGCTTCAAGAAAGCTTCCCCCCTGTGCCCCTTCTGAAGGGATACCTCAAGAATAGAAGGAGAAATTCACAAGTGAAGACTGGAAATGTGCGTGATATTGCTAGTGCGAAGGTATGATTTGTTGCATGATTCCGATTCCGATTCCAATTGAGTTATCGTCTCTATTCTGTTTTTTCTTCTGCATTGCTTGTATTATTATATGTGCCATTTACTTGCAGAATGACGCCAATGCACAAGAGCTTGCAGCTCTGAGAGCTGTAATTAAGTGTATTGAGGAATACAAGCTTGAATCTGACTACCCACTTGATACACTTAAGAAAAGGGTTCTTCAACTAGAGAAATCAAAGGGAGATAAAAAGAGAAGCGGAGAGTTTAGCAAACGGCCTCAATCGAAGAGGCCAAGGCCTAATGAGAGATATTTTTCACTCCATTCATCCGGTGTTAACTCCGCCTCAACTGTTGCTTTGGGTAGGCAGGTTCCCCATGTTAGGGCACCATATGCAGGAAATCCCGATAGGTATCCCCACGCTGGTACAATCACGTACGATTACCAAGTTCCTGGCCAATCTATATACTCTGGACCAGCTAGTATACCTCCTTCTAACTATGGTCGTTATATGGGTACTAGTTTGCAATCCTCGCACCAGCCATACATGTGAAATATTACATCCAAGTATTAGTGAGCAATCCACTCAGTATATGTTTGGTTTTCCATTAAGTATTTGAGATAGAGCCTCATGTATGTTTGTCAGAAAGCAACTAGTTACTTTTTGTTCACATGCCCAGGAATTTGTGTTAATGGAAAATCAAACTCACCCTTAGTGATTCTATCTCGGAGTTAAAATGTACCTTTTGTTTTTGTTATTTTTTTTTTAACATCTTATGATGCCAAAGGGAAGTGTATTCTTACCTTTTCATCCAAAGGTAACTTGTGTTAAATCAAGTGCATATGTAATAGTCCTCGTGGGGGTAAATTTTTGGAGAATTATGTCAAGGTATGCATAGTTCCCAATCCGATGAGGAAGAGTGTCCATTGAATTGATATTTTGGGAAACAATCAATCCCACCTAAAAAAAATACATATACTAGACAATCTTATTTATTAATATTATATTCATAAAATGACTAAATTAAAATAAAATTAATTAAAAATTATTATTTTATTAATAAATTAAGTTGTTGATGGGTTCTATGAAACAATTGGGTTGTCAGTTAATTTTTTTTTAATTATATCATGTGACATTGAAACTTGAGGAATTGCTAAGAGTATTTTCAATATTGCACCTTTTTTTTTTTTAACAAGTACGCAGCCAATGCCCCTCACGCAATAAATAATGTTGAAGTGTAGTTTGGCTTTGAAATGGAAAATAAAGGTCCAAGATTTGTTTATTCCGGAATTTAGTCAGCACCAGCACACTATTTATACTTGACTTGAATACTCAACAAATGATTCGATTTAAACTTTTTTAAGCGTCTGGTGATGGTTACTTCAATATAAAACAAATCGGTGATGGCAACGGATCTAAAAAAATCAGATAAAATCAATTTTTTTATAAAAAGAAGTTAGGTTGAATTTCTTTTCATTAATATTAAAAACAATCAATTAATTATTTATCTTAACAAGTTTATGTTGGAAAATTATTAGTATGATCCTGATTTTGATTATAACTATAAAAAATAAATATTATCCTATACTTATAAACATGTTATAGATCTGAATGCAAAAATGTACCTGAATTAGTCATAATGATGATGTCCCTTTTAGAGCACTATTGATCTTATGATCTTCTACCTGAAGAGCACCTATATTTTCCTCTGAATTTTATCTCTTGATGGGGATTAAAAGAAAGGAACGAGACTGAGACTTATGTTCTGTGTGTATGTTCCCAGAAGGGGACCATAACCTTTTAAATAACCAGAATTAGGTTAATTACTTGAGTTTTAGTATTTCCAATTTGACCTCTCATCAAATTAAAAATTGCTCTATAATCTCTACACAATTTAATTTTCATGACATATGCTTTTAGCCAAAATTTTTAATTTAGTCAGATCATTTTATTATTTGGCTTAATAAATAATGACCCTAATACATTTAAATTATGTATCATATATATATATGACTCAAAATTTGTCAACAATCTCCCATTAGTTACAAATATATATGTCCTTACAACCTTACAAATGTGTTAGACTTTATGAGCTCAAAATTGTCATTATATTCCTTTAGTATACTCCAAAAGTCTCGTTCATTGATCATATTAGGATATAGAACCAAACCAGCTTTTCATTGCATCATCGCAACCAAAACCAACAATGATTACTAATCCTGACATAATCAAATGACATGGATTCATCATGAAATATGTAACATGAAAAATTACGTGAAGGTGATCTGTAAACGTCTATTTTCAACTGGTCCAAACTTTAACTTATCGAGATCGATATAATAACCTTAATGTACAAAGTGTAATGAATGAACGAAAAATCGCATATTTATAGATAACCAAATATGTCCAAAAATCAATGTATACATATATGAAATTAAACATAGAACATAAAATATATGAAAATGACTAACTCCCACTAAACCACAAATTCATCAAACTGTAAAACACTCATGTGAGCAACATGCTCATGAAAGACCTTGGGCGAAAGTCCTTTAGTTAGAGGATATGCTATCATGGAGGTTGTCCCTAATTGTTCTATGAAAATTTGTCCACTCTGTACTTTTTCATTAACAATACAGCTGATTTGTTGTCACAATATAACTTAAGTGGTATTTCAATGCCTTTCACAATTTGTAGCCCCGTGACAAAATTTCTCAGTCATATTCCATGATTTGATATCTTATAGCATGCTACAAATTTTGTTGCCATAGTGGATGAAGTTGTAAGGGTTTGCTTGACACTATGCCAAGAAACCGCACCACCTGACAACATGAAAATGTAACTTGAAGTGGATTTCAAACTATCTTGACATCCTGCAAAGTCCAAGTCAGAAAACCCAGCGATTTTCAACTGGTCTGACCTCCTGTATGTGAACATATAATTTTTTGTTCTCTTTAAATATCTCATGACCATTTTTGCTGTTTTCCAATAGTCCATTCTTGGATTGCTTAAATATCTGCCTAGAACCCCATCTATGTATGTTATATCTGGACGTGTATATACTTGGACATACATCAAACTCCCTATAGCTGATGCATAGGGAATCTTCTACATTTCCTCAATTTCCAAATTCCCCTATGAGCACTGATTGAGACTAAACTTGTCTCATTTAGAAACTAGAGTATCCCAGACTCATGATGCACAAGTTCTTGAGGATCTTGAGTTTGTTCTTGACGAACAGTCAAATCATCTTGAGTATGGGGTTCATCATCAATGTCTTGTGGAGGTTCTGAACTTACTTTATCAAAAGTAATTGTTTGAATCAGTTCTGAACTTGTTACCGATTCTTCCTCCAAGATAAAGTTCTTAATCTTATTCTTCCCCTAAAACTCAATATCCTCAAAGAACATAACAGTTCCCGTTTCAAAAAATTGTCTTTAATGTGGGATCATAAAATTTATATCCCTTGGATCTTTAAGCATAACCAACAAAATAACTACTTACTGTTTGGGAGTCCAATTTCTTTTCATTTGGCTTATAAGGCCTTGCCTCAACTGGACAACCCCACACATGGAAACGCTTCAGACTAGGTTGTCGCTCAGTCTAAAGCTCATAAGGTGTTTTGGTAGCTGTTTTAATTAGTACTCTATTTAGAATATAAGTTGTCGTCTTTAGTGCCTTTCCCCAGAGTGATTCTGGTAAGGTGAAATGACAAATCATACTCCTTACCATATCTTTAAGAGTGTAACACAAGTCCAAGCACCACAATTCGATTATGACTTGAGCACTTGTGCCATAATGCACCTGAGTGAGTATTTTCAATTTTACGTTTAGTACCACGAGATTCTGTATTAAGGGTTTCATTATAGGTGACCACAGTATCAAGTAAATACAGATTATCATAAGCCAAAAGTGAATTCCAATAATATCTGAATTAAAAGATAAAATGAACTTATTGTTTCCAAATGAACACAAATAATCTAATTTGTCCAAATAAGAAACCAAAACCAAATTTCGTCTAAATGACGGCATAACAAAAGTGTCTTTCAAATCTAAAATAAAAAATCAGTACACAATAATAATCTAAAATGCCCAATAGCCTCCATCTCCACCGATTTACCATATTCAACGTATATCCATCTTTAAGAATCAGTTGGCTTCCGGTAGTTTAGACAACCTTTTATTTTTACGCCAAACATGATATTTAACACATTTCTTCTTTACGTGTCCAGTCTTATTGCAAAAGAAACATTTATTTTCTTGAGTTTGTTTCTTTTGTTCTGGACCCTTAGCAGCTTCCTTCTCGGGATCGTCCGATCTCTTTCTTTTGCCCTTAGCCTTGGAGGTGCTTGCAAAATGAGCACTTTCTGTTTTGTCTTGATTTAGTCTTTCTTCTTCTTGCATGCAGTGTGAAATGAGCTCATTAAGAGACCATTTATCCTTCTGATAGTTGTAAGATACCTTAAACTGATTAAACGTTGCGGGAAGAGAAATTAACACCAAATGAATGAACAAGTCTTCTAAGAGTTCAAGCTTTAGTGCCTTGAGTTTAAAAATAATATTAGACATGCTCATAATGCACTCCCTGATATTTTCTTTATCCTGATATTTCATGGAGATCAAGTTTTGAAGAAGAGTGTTTGTCTCTGCCTTATCACTTTTTGCAAAGCGCTGCTCAATTTTAGCAAGAAATTATTTGGAACTTGTGATGTTTTCAGAAACAGTGCCCCTAAATACCTCTAGGATGTCGCGCTTAATGATCATTAGACTCATGTGATTTGAGCGATCACACTTCTCATAATCTCTCTTCTGTTTAGAGGTACTTGAATCCGTAAGAGTAGGGGGTTGCTCAGTCCTTAACGCAATATCCATATCCATACAACCAAGAATAATATCAGTGTTCTCTTTTCAATCCTTAAAATTTGTTCCATTGAGGATCGAAATAGAATTTAAATTTACAAATACAGAAGCAATTATAGCTGAATATATAACAAGAGAAATAAACTAATTATGCTCACTGTAACATCCAGTATTTCCCAAAAATATTTCATTAATATAATAAAATATTTTGTCATTAACTTTAATAAAATGGTATTATGAGTTATTTTAAGACTTGATAATTTTTAAAGATATTAATAAACAATATATATATTATGAAATTTTTAATAGAGTGAAATAGATAAATTTAGAATTGAGTTTAAAATGAAGTCATAATAATAATAATAATAATAAGAGTAATATCATTAAGCAAAATTAGTAATATAATTTCTCATTGATGAAAGGATTTAATTAGTAAGTGCAAAAGTAAGTGAGGGTAATTTTGGAAATGTGGTCAAATTTAAAGAAGAGAAAGACCAATTTTCTTTCTCACTTACGGAAGCCATTTTGGGAGCACGGGAGGAAGAAGAGAAGCTTGATTTTGCTTGCCCACACCATCTTGCTTCATCCTTTTTGCAATTAAGAGTAAGATCCATGAAATTAAAGCATTGAATTTCAATATTATCTCCTAAAATCTTCTTAATCTCAAATATATGGTCATTTTGATGCTTATA